TTTTTAATTAATTATTATTTTAATAAATTTCTTATTTTTTATTTTTTTAACACAGCAAAATAAGTTTATTGAATGGAGTACAAGGGTATTCTTACCCTTAGTAAAAAAAAAAAACAATCATTGAGCATCCACTGATTATAGCTTACTAAACCCACAAAAGCAAGCATCAGCATCAGCATATCTGTCATGCCCTAGAACTCAAATCCAAAGACAAAACAGACACCGTACACTTGTGAGAGGATTCCATAAATGCACAAGGCTTAAAGCTTATTGAATTCATAACTACAATCCATGGAACAATTTTGCAAAAATTTGAAAATAAAATTTATACTGCAAACCTAATTACAAAATAAGCTAAGTCCAAATATATGTGGCTAATCTAACTCCAAGATAATCTAAGCCTGAAACACAAATGGCTAGCCTTCTAACTCGTCACTCCCCTCAGTTTTCCCACGTCTTTGGTTTTAGTACCTGAAATGGTGGACGAGGAAAAACCCTATGAGATAACTCAGTAAGTAAAAATATGGATAGTCCTAAATTAAAATTTATAACATGCCAACAAGTGTAATCATGTATCAAGAAAAAAAAAAACAGGTACAAGTACAGGAATGAAATAAACGTCTCCTTTATAGGACATGGTCAACGTTTATAAACCTCCCACTGACGGGCACAGTAGTAACCAGTGTATTATCTCATTGGCAAGATACAGGATGAATCGGTTCCTAAGAATACATGTCGACATGTTCTAGCGTTTATAAATCTCCCACTAGCGGACACAGTAAAACATGACCATATTGGAGACAAAACCAGGCAGGAGTTAACAGAAAACCATAATTTGCAAATAATTTCCAGATCAGTAAGGCAGTTAAGTAAACTCCAAGTAGGCATACTCAACTCAATAAAAATGATAAAAATTTCATTTCAAACCAATCATGCTTGTGTTTGTGTAAAACGGGTTTAGTCCTGCCACTATTTCAAAAACCATCAGAAATATGCTTTCAAAAACCTTTACCTCAAATCCAAAAGCATTACCATACTTTTACTTACCTCTTATTGTAAGCTTACAACAGCAAGTATTCAAGGTTTTAAGGAGATGGTGGTGACTTAGAACCTAATTCATAATCAAGAACAATAGGGTCACAACATGCCTCATTCCACTAAAATTGATCTTTAGTTCTAGCACCAAGTTCTGTCCCAAAGGAACAATTTCTCCCTATCTCCTCTTGCTATTCTACCCACCAAAACCTTACTAGTATATATATATAACTCACACGCATAGTCATATATAAATTTCCAAAGATGACAGCTGACCTTCCAAACATTTTCAGCAAGGAGCAGCAAAACTTGGCAAATGGCAGAAAAATTCTGGGAAAAAAACAATGCAGAAAACAGCAAGGAAAAATGCAAAAGAGTGCAGAATTTATTCTGGGTTGTAACAGTGCAGAAACAGCAGGGAAAATGCAGTAAAAATGCAGAATTTTTCTGGGCTAAAACAGTGCAGAAAACAGTAAGGAAAAATGCAGGAAAATGTAGATATTTCTGGTTTAAGACAGTGCAGAAAAACAGCAAGAAATTAGCAAAATTTTATGGCAAAAAGAGCAGGATTTTCTGAGTAAAAACAGTAGGTATTTACAGTTTAAAACAGCAGAAATTTTCGACAAGAACAACAGAATTCTTCTAGGCAAAACAGCAGCAAAAACAGCCAAGATTCAAGCAAAATGCAGTAGTAAAAGCAGCCATGACAATGGGGATTTTCAAAACAGAACAGTAGGTTTAAAATGTGAAAACTGCAGCAGGCCGAGCATGACAACAAGAATTCACAAGATAATCAACCAATCACGACAATCAAGTCATTCAAAATCAAATTTCTGCACCTAGAGCGAAATGGGACAATTAATCTACATTACACCCACAACAAGCCTCAATAGTGCAGCAAACTTAGAAGCAAGAAATAGCACATACAATTTCCCAATTTAAACAGTCAAAATTTACACAATGTCTACTGAAATAAAGGAAAGGAAGCAATTTTTTTGTGCTCAATCTTACCAATTTACTAGTGAGAGGCTGCGGCTCTTCCTAGAAATGGAGACCCAAGCTCCAGAAGACAGTAAGAAATTGAGAAGACCAGCGATTTCTAGAAGAAAGGACAGACCCATGAGCTGTTGAAGATGATGCATAGCTGTTGTGAGGTGGGGGCAATGGTCTGCGGCTTAGGGAGTTGGAAAATGGAAGAGAAAGGTTTGGAGTGGTGAGATCGGTGATGAAGGGTGGCGAAGAGCAGAAAAATGGTGATGGAAATTTGGGAATGATATGGTGATTGCTAAGCCTAGGGTTCCCAAAAAAAAAAAAAAAAGGGTCGGGAGCTTATGCCATACTCTTTTCTTTCTTTTTTTTATTTTTTTGCAGTTCCCCCCTTTAGGTTTAAAATTTTTTGGTCATTAGGCCCAGAAAATGATAAATTCTCCCACATAAGTCCCTAACATAAAGTTTAAGGTTTCAAAATTTTTGAGATATTACAATATCAAAAACTGCTAAAGTCAAAAGCTGCTTAGTAACGCATACCAGGTTAAAGGTAAAGGTCCATCCACTGACTACAGCTTGCTAAATCCACAAAATTAAGCATCAGCATATCAAAAACAGCTAAAGTCAAATAGTTGCTTT